GTGTATTTCGTCTGGCTCGTGCGCCACGTAATCGTCCGCAATCGCTACAACTTTCTTTTAAAAAGAGTCACGTGGATTGCTTTCGCGGCCGAATTTTTTTCATAATATGAAAAAAATGTCTCTTCCGTGTTCTCAGGCTAATCTCCGAGTGGATTTTATAGCGAATCGCAAAATTTAATCGATACCTAGTTCCACTTTTCCTCATTGGTGGAATGTTAAATCGATATGAATCGTAGCGAATTAACATAATGCTTGTCGAATTATTCAATTTGTCGTTGGCAATTTACGTTGAAAATACCGTATAATTTTTTGTACGCTCCAAAAGATAACAAAGATAATATTCCTGGTACCGTTATTGATCATTAGTATAAATTCTGGTTTTTTTTCTCTTTTTTAGGTTCAACGATTAATATCTCATTAGAGCGATCCTGATACAAACGCGACGTTCCGTTTGTTCTACGAATTATACGTTTGCGGACCAACACTTATTTCTTTTTCCCTCCCTATGATTCGCGTTTGTTGATTTCAGCTGGAAAAGATAGCCAAGAAAATGGCGAGTGATGCAATCGGTACCGTTATCGTCGATTTACCTAAGTCGTGACATTAAATTAGCGTAAACTGCTTTACAACGTCGGCGATACGCGCACACGAGCACAATTGCGTGCAAAACATTTAAACAGCTCGCTAGTGACCCAGACGGGAACTTTGTGAGTCCGACAACGCGTTAACTTGCGGTTCGCCTTACACGTTAACTATAATGTTTACGCTTGCATTGACGTTCGGTCGATGTTTAAACGTTATGCAAATAACGGCGGTAATGTCCGTTCACTTTATGATCATGCGGTACGCTTCCCGAATCCGCGAAACTTCCTCGCCTTGTCAATTTGATTTATTTTCCCGCATCGGTCTAAGATATACACAGTTGAACGTTGTTCATTCATAGATATTTCATTCATGTCAATACTACTTCCTTTCTTGTCGGCTTCGTTTCCGAGTATCGAACGGTACTTCTGTTTATGAAGTTGTCAGTTGTCTTAGAGTTATGATATTTAATTAATAGCTAAAGAAAGTTATTTGTAATATATTATTATATTTGTATAACATTGAGTAATATGACAATATTGTGATATAAATGTTGATCGTAAATAAAAATCACACATACCAAAAATTAATTATTGTAGATAAGTTTAATCTAAAAAAAAACTTTTAAAAAATATCTGCCAATGCATAAAAAGATATTGAATATTATTTATATTTTTCCTATAATAAAAAACGAATATGACATAAATGCAATTAGCTAAGTACTTTATTACTAAAAAAAATTATATCGAAATTATTTCTTACGTTTTTTATTTTATTCGAGTACTGATTACAATGACATGGTTTCGGAAAAATTAGAAAAATAAGATATGTAATAAAGAAGAAAATCGTCACAGTAATTTTCAGTGCACTCTAGATGAACTGACTTCCCGTTGTTACAACTCCAATAAAGGAGGCAGTTACGAGTTTGGAAAGAGTTAACCGACTTTGTCCAACGGTGCTTCTTGGGAAGTGCGAAAGAAGATACGACGTGCATAGACGACCTTACACGCGTTCCACGTGCCGTCTCATCGCGATTAGAAATCTGAATTGCGAAATCGTCGATCTCGATCTATGACAGCTTAATTATGCTGACACACAATTCAGTGGTGCCTTGTTTATACGAAAGTTAGCAAGGGTTTATATTATTTTAGAAGAATTATACGTTATCAAACATTAGAATATAATTTCGGACAGTATCCTATTAAAAAAATTAAGAAAATTTGAAATAACGATAAGATATTTGATAGAACGATAAGAAAATAATAATTAAGAAATTAATATAAAAAACATAATATACTTAATATAAAAGAATCGATAAGGAAGATACTGAAGTTATCTCTCTTCTCAACCCAAGGAGAACAAGAAAGTTAAAACGTCATATTGATTGATTATTGATCGAATTTATGTCAACTTTTTGTCGTTCAATATAACATTATTTTCATTTTCTTGTTTTCCTTGGATTGTGTAATAATATTTCTATTTGATTTCTAATTTTCACCTATATTGTCATTTTGAGTGTCATCCTCCTTGATGATTTCTTCCGCATTATTCTCCTGCAGATCATCAACGACTTCAGCGATGACATTGCCAGCCTGTTCGATCACCGCGCTCATCGGTGGCTCGCTTTTTTCCCCGGTAACTTCCAACTCGATCTGGTCCAGGTCGCGGGCTAATCTCGTCCTGAGGCAACTTCTGGCATTGTTGGTGAATATACACTCCAGGATACCTTCCTCCTTTGGCTTGCTCTTTTCCATTGCCATGCAATGAGCGTGCAAAGCGAGTCCGAGGACCAAGAAAAGAACCAGCGCGATTATCCTCATGGTTGCCTGCCTTTTTCGTCGAATTTGACGATTCTCACTGATCGAAGCGCACCGTTATCACCACGAAAATCGCGTGATAACTTCCCTGACGACTGAGTTCCACGTCACCCTCTCGTTTTTTTTTTCTTTGACCGTCAACCGTAGCCTTGAACCGCGTGTCACAGGCTCGAAGTGGTTGTGAAGCGTGCGTGGTCGAACATATATGAGACTGGTGTCCCTTCCATTTCAACTTCCGCCAATAGTGGGTTTGGTTTGTAAGTCTAGCGGGTACCCCTCCACTATGGTGGGCTTTTTCGCCACAACGAAACTTACGGTGTCGTCCCATAAGAATTACGGGTCCGTAAATTATCGAATGGAAATGAACTTGATAGAGTGGAATATCTTGTCTTTATACAATGACCTATGTCACCAATACATGAAAAATTATTCATGAAGTATCAATGAAATCATGACAAATTTCATTTTCATTATCATATTTCGCGACACTTCCATTTCTCTTCTATTTTTAGACTTCTCTCTTGTATTTTTAAATTTTTGTCATTTTTTGAGACCAAAAATGATTATGTACAATGCAAACACATTATTTTTATAAAAATTGTCTTCAAAATAGAGGATATATTTTCTTATAATTTTTTATGTCCGTTTTTGTCAATATACATTATTATTAGAACTAAAAAAAAAAAAATAAAATTAGTTAAATTGAATTTAAAATTAAACTACCCGGAAAAAAATGTTTTATATATAATTATATATATATAATTGTATAAAAAATTGACATATTTTATATATAATTATATGTCTATACATATAACATTTTTTTCCGGATAGTTTAATTTTAAATTCAATTTAACTAATTTTATTTTTTTTTAGTTCTAAAAATAAGAAAAAAGAGTAAGTTTAATTAAACGATCAAAAAATTCGGATTGTGATATATGGCAACGATTTCTTTTTAAATCTACGAGCAACTTGGCACACGCGATTAACAGTACATGGACCGACTACAAAAATTTCACTTGCTCGACTACACATGCTAACCCAATTCTTGACTTTTATTGTCGTTTCAAGAACAAGGAAGAATCAAATAGAAAGAAATAGCTGCTTTTGAAAAATGCCTAAATCTCCGATCGTACATGTTCAATATATCTTTGAACATCTCTCACATATCGGAATATTTATCACTCTATATTTTCTTATCGAATTTAATTGGTTTAATTTAATTATCTTATATTTAATTATCTCGTATACAGTATTTGTTTAAGTATCTTGTCTACAAACCTGAAAAAATTGAAATATCATTTAACGTTCATTTAATTATCACAAGAATAGTAATTCATTTTTCAAAAATTCAGAGCCTTGTCACGTGCGCGTTGTGGCAACTCGACTGTATCACAACGTATCTCAATGGCTTTTGCGCTGTTAATTAACACAATCCCGGAACATGTAGAGGCGCCGGTTTCGTGAATTATGCATTGATCATTCAAGAATTTTCACCTTACCTTTCACTATGATTACATTCGCCCTTTCCGTTTGCTTGCGTCGCTTTTTAATCATCAATTACGTGATGTAATAAACGTAGTAACGCGTAAATATTACATTGCGTATATGTAAAATTGTATGTAATCTGTCAGAATGAAACAAAATATGATTTATCCGCGCAAAGGTCTCTTTAATCAGCCATTTAATATGTTCTTTTTATTTAATTTTTTTTACATATGCGGAGAAAAAAGTATCATCTCTGATATGTACACGCATAATTCGAGAAAAAGGATAACCATGCAAACTGAGTGTAACATGCTTTATCAGAAATGTCAACCTCATGAGCTATACTATCGTTACCGTTATCTCGTTATTATTTATGTGACAGTTTCATCACGGTTTGCTATCCCTCGAATATGAATTTCGAGTCATTCTAATAATGATCTCCGAACCATCTGGTTGATGCAAAGTAACAAATACTTGACCAAACGATATACATACCCAGTGAGAAATGACAATGAAATCGATGTCGAATCGACGTCGATTTGATGCTTTCGACGTCGAATCACCATCGATTCGATGTCGATTCCATTATTATTTCTTACTGGATATGTATAAACAATAGTTTTATTACGTTTATGTGACTATAATAACTATTCATTTTTTTTCGTAGAAAATTAAAAAAAGTATAAATTTAATGATATTCCTAATTACAGATTAGCTTAATCAAGTTTACTACTCTGGCTACATTTTTGCTTGCATATCGTTTTCATTCCTGTTAGAAACTGAAGAATGATCGCACGCATACTTTACGACTTATTTTTGGTGTTCATCGAAGGTTCCAAATAAATAATGAAAGAAATCGCGTAAATTTACAAAGATTTTATATTGTAATATTTTCATTTATTTTGAATTTGTAATATAACATAATCTAAATTATATCTACTTTTGTAAATGCATATTATGAAAATGCCGTGTCCAGAAGATAGTTAAAAAATAATGAATAAAATTACATTTTCGAAAATAAATTATTTTATATTATACAAGAAATTATCAGAATATTCATATATATTTTACAATAATTATTTTTATCTCAATGAATTATTTATTTTTTATGCGTAATAAATTTTTGTCTCAAGTAATGATAAACCTCAAAAATGGAAACTTATGCATTTCTAGACGTGGCTCATACTATTTAAATAAATGTTAGCATATTTATAAGTAATAAATCTTGATTAAAGTAAAATCGCGTTATAAAGTTTATATAAAGTTGCGAATTTACGACCAATACCAACGAAACGAGTATCCTTTGAGACCGTGTTTCTCATCAGCCACGTACGTCTGCGGAACGAACGTGATGTTGGGCTGATGCCCGAATTCATTTGACAGATACCTCACTTGTGTGTCGATACCATTTTTATTTGGAGACCGATAGCTACCGTTCTTCCTTCCGCTGCGATAGCCGTCCTCGTGATGGCCGTGCGACGTTATCGTATAGTTGAACTGATAATACAGATCGTCTGCCATTTTCTCCAGGACTCGATCATTCACGGTGAGTTTATCTTCTTCGGATAGCAATTTTTTCGCAGCTCGCACCATACTTTTCGTGATGTCCTCCTTTTTGATAAACTTATTTTTCTCCTCTGAGAAACTCTTAATAGACGTATTGACTGTAAAATTGAAGAGTGTAAATTTATACGTATAATATTACCTAATTTAAGGCTCACAAATTCTTTTTTATTCTTTTTTGTACTACCTGTTAATATCTTCATCATCCGCTTCAATATCGGCTCCATCTTCTTCTGCAGCGGTGATTCCGTGACTGTCTTCACAGGTTTTGGTCGATTGTTTTCTTGCTTTATTGGTATTTTACAGTCGCTGCAGGCCTTCATTATGGCTTCGATTAATTTCTTCGCTGCTTCCGGTCTATCCTTGAATATCTCTTGCGCGTCCTTCACTTGTTAAACCAAGATGAAACGTTCAGAGCGGAATATACATAAAATTTATCGCTTCAATAAGCACTTAACTTACGACTCGTTATTTTTCGGTTCCTTTGTTTTGTGATAATAAAATCCCCATTTTTGTCGGTCTTATATCCAGTCTCGTGGTAGACACCATCGGCTGTGATAAAGCCATATTCCCCGGTAATGAGTCCCTCGGCGTCTCAACAAAGAAATACACAAAAACGTCATTAATCTCATTATTTATCGAGAATTATTTAATTCACTAATTATTTATAATAATAAGAATGTCGCCCGACACTTTTTTCAATTGATATACCTTTCTTCTCAAATCTATGCTGAAAATCGACAATGTTGAAGGAGAACTCGTAAGGCCTGATATCATCCGCGACGGCACGATGTTGCGCGACCAGATAGCACAGCAGACACAGAAGATCGCACCATCTCCTCTGCAACTGAAAATCGCGTGTGCTTTATCGTATGATAACAAGTATTTTCCTTCGTCGGCCTTGGATCCTCACCATGAAGGACGACATCCTGCGAAGATCCCTGCGGCTTCGAGTTCGCGCGACTGAATGATGGCAGGAGCGAATCCTCCGAGCATACAGTGGTGACGTAATAAGCGAGAAAAATGTTCTCGTCTTCTCCGCGAGTTATCTATGAAACGATCTGACGACGAGGGAGAAGAGGAAAGTGTGAAAGGGACAAGACGGAAAAATCGGGAGGCCTTTGACGTTTTTCTCAGTGGGCAGATGCTTTCACACATTTTGCAGACTCGGCTGGGAGATAATTGCACGGTTATCATTAATGGTCGTGGATCGTGAATCGAGTGGATCGTGATTATAGATTGCAATCTCCGCTGTAAAATAAAATATTGCTGTCTGTGACATAACATTAAATTTTATGGCGACGTTTTTACTTGAGAGGGTTATAAGAGTCACAAATAGGTAGGGAAAACGATAAATATTTATCTAGACTTTATGCAAGTTGTTTAGTATAAACGTAACACATAGTATAAACGTTTTTTATCTTATTTAATACAATTTTTAATTTTCTCACATTCCTCTCCTTTTGTTAATATCTATTAACAAAAAAGATTTAAATCTTCTTTAACTTAAGTTAAATTATTATCTAAATTTTATTGACTATTCTGTCAAAATAATTGAAATTTACTGCACAGAATTAATTTAAATTGCTATTGATGACACAAATGACTTTTTGAGAGATAGAATAATGCTTTTTTTCTAATGGACATTAACAGACACGAAGAGACATTTACATTGATCACGATACAAGCGTGTATTTATTAGATGACCTTTCGTTTTATCTTCTCACACATAACGCTGTCAGATCGATGGTTGTTTCTTATAAGAAGCGAACGCTGTTGAGAGTGCTGGACGATGCTGAATATAATAAATTAATGCACATTCAATGCACATAGATTAGCTAATCGGACACTGCGAATAATGTCAGCAGAATCTTGTCATTATGCAAAGTATATACGACATATTCTAAGAAAATCTCGTTAACATCTGATTTGCTTTGACTAAAATAAATGATTGAGAAAATCGTGAAAGGTTGCTCTGATAAAATATCAACCAATAAAATATCTGATAAAATATCACCATTATATGATTGGAGATCTTTTTCTTGTTTTTAATCGTCCAACTATAATGAATCGCCCATACCGTAAATGGAACATTACGGTAAATTGAGGGTCAGGGTCGTTCGCAGGTGATTGGCGACGATTCGAAATTTGTGCCTGTGAAAATTTTATCTGAAATTTCATCTGAATATATGACGCATTGGATTTGACAAGATTAGAAATCAAATAATCATCGAAAGTGACATTACAAATCACGGTAAGCTACAATGTTGAAGACAAAATTTAGACACGTCGTTACCTTAACTGAGTCGATAAAGTTGCGAGAGAAAATTCTGTTTTCAATTTAAAAATGTACAATGAATATTAAACTTTTATAATCGTGAAACTTGTGCACAATAAAATGCTTCTTCCGACTAGTCTAATATATTCATCAATCGTTCGACTTTTCCGATGTAATCTGGAACAGGAATTAGGAACTAGTTTCCATTTTGTGGAATCGAATTATTGGAGAATTATAAAAGAGATCTAAATTCCTTCACGTAATCCTATGTTTACACGATTCAGGCAGTTTGTGATAAGCGAATGTTCGATTCTTATTTATCGGATGCGCGTGGTGCATTATGCATTTTGTAGTCCAGAAAACGGCATGCTGATCTGATTTGTACTACGAGGTATCGATTTAGGAACGATGATCCTCGTGGCATACCAACAATACCAATCGCGGAAGGTGGGTTTCTGGCACGTATACGCATAGCGAATATCGACGTCTCGAAGATTCAATTCGTTGACGAAACTTCCGATATTTACGCTATGATTAGCTTATACATTCCTCTTGCTCGCGCATAAGAACTTCATTTACGTTTCCGCTGTCGCAAGAATATTTTTATCAACGAGAAGCGCGATGGAATTCTCATTTCGATTTCGATGTCGAATTTACCGAGAGAGAAATGAGAAAACGTGAATGAGTATATCTGCACGCAAATGTGAGAATCTGGACCAAAATGCCGTTATGTGGAAGCCCAAAGTAGGTCAGCCGACATCTTGATATTGGCAGTCTGTCTGTTCAATACGAGGCAAAAAGGCGGACAGGTGAGTACGCAGTCGACGAAAGACCAATAATATATTTTCTCGTATGCGAGTTACATTTTTTTCACAAATAAAAATATATATATAACTGTGAAAAATAATTTAACAAATATAAATAATAATAATAATTAAATAGATATAATAATAATAATAGTAATAATTTAAAAAATAATTTAATAATTATATAAAAACATATAAATAATTTTAAAATTTAAAAAATAAATTTTCCATCGCGCTTTACGATCTCTATATCACAGATGTCTTCTTCGTACTTTCTAATGTGTCGCTTTGGAAAACCATAGCAGTATCATGAGAAATATATTGTTCTTATTGATATCACTCATTCGTATGTTTTATCTACCAAACCATTCGTCCTCAATGTCATCGGGAAAACCATGACGATAGTGTATATGATGATACGGCTTATGAACCACCACTATTTCCGAGTCTTGCGAACTCTTAATTAAATTATAGATCATTATAGCAATTGCTAACTGCGCCACCATAATACTCCTTAGAAGTGATAATTTAACGTTCGCTATGGCGCCCGGTAAGGAAAGTATCTGAAATAAGATACAGGTTTATCATTTGTTCTAGCGGGAAATGTTATAATAAGATTAATAAACATGAAACCTGCATAATAAATGGCGTCATCATCATCATAAATCCAAGTCTCTGTAAAGGATTCTTCTTCTTCTCCTCTTTGCTTCTTGCAGTTTGCATTTCTGTCTCTAAAGAAGAGAGATCTTAATCTTCTTCAAACGTAAAATGCAAAAGTAAATAAAGTACTGTCAATACCTCGTAGTAGGTCGTGAATTCTCACATGAATACTGATTTCACTGTCCTTTAAAAAAAACTTGATTCCTGGAAAGATCTTCAAATTTTGGGTTTTGTTGAAGTTGATTTGACAATTGTTCAATCTCTCTTCAGCGCGAATTAATAGTTTTGACAATGTTACCAACCAGATAATGCAAACGAAGAACTTGGTCCCATTCATGTCCTCGAATTTACAATGATTTATTGAAATATGCGTATTGAAAATTAAGATGTATTCCTGATAATTATATTTATTAAATTTATATCTATAATATTAAGGTAAAAAAATAATAAATCCATATATTTTTTATAATTATTTGTATGTAAAAATTAAGAAACATTTAATAAAGATTTATTATACTAAGTTATTTTGTAACTTACTTTGCGTTCAAATATATTATCTTGTGCTGTGTAAAATCACGTAATATACGATGTTAGATTCACACTCATACAACATTCACCATAATTATTTATATTATACTATTACTAATTCATTACGATGTCAGTGATAATACTCGCGATTTGTTCACATTTAATTAAAGTTAACATTTCACGAATGTAAAGATACCGAAGAAAACTCTTAGAAATACCGCTTTGCTTTCCAATATGTGTGTCTTCTGTTCACTTGCCATGTAGACTGCACCGCGTTACGCGAAGCGCAGCAGAGATATTTTACTTTTTTATTCGTTAGATACCCCACACCGATCGTTGGATCGGGAAACTGGGTCTCGTTAGAGAATGCTATTTACATCGGAATAAACTAGAATAGTTTGCCCAGGATTCGCTTACATTCTTTCATTAATAAACATAAATTTTAGTAATGATTAAAATTCTATTAGAAAAATCGTATTTTTTATAAAATTAAATTTTAATTTGGAGAAAATATAAGATTTCTTATCGGCTTAGAAAAAGTAAAAGAAAAAGCAGAAATAGAAAACATACGAGATATTAATAAATATATACAAGTCTAAAAATAAATGTAGAATTTATAAATATATTACAATAAAAAGATATAAGAAACTCATCGTGTAATTCATATACGTATATATATTACAATAAAAAATTATGGGAAATCCAATGTAACGTAAATACATTTCCTTATTTATAACATGAGGTATGTGTGTATTTCTTAAATATATAAATACTTTTCGTTTTCTGTTGAAATATAGATCTACGTTATACATATTTTTCATAATTAGAGACCAAATTGATATTTTCTATATAATTGTTATTTGATGAAGATAATTACAGAAAGTATGTTTCATTTAACTTGTCATGCAATGTGCATAGGATATTATCTGATTTGTTTACGTATTTTGAAGGCACATCGTGTGGTACATCTCACATATGTGTAATAAACATTTTACTTGAATAATAAATTATTAATAAATAGTACATAATAAGTTATTAATAAATAATTACATATTTATAAAAACGCTATTTATATTTCCTTTAAAAAAGGAATTTTATGTTTTTTTATATTCTATACGAACTTATAATTATATTTAAGAAAATTCCTTTGGTATATCTGCATATATTTAATTTATAATGAAATGCACGAAGAAATCGGTCACTCTGTGTGCATCACAGTGTAAAAAAATGTAGAGAGTATTCGTAAAATTGATATTCTTTTCTTATAAAGTGTGTGTGTGTGTGTGTGTGTGTGTTTTCAATAAATAGCGTCTGGATGGCGAGAAATATGCACCGAGAGAAATGTTTCATATGAATAACCATTTATTTTATTGATATGAATTATGGAAATTTCCTTACTTTTTAACTTAAAATATATAAGAAAGTTTTTTAAATTTAAAATAAGAAAGTTGTGTAATTCACATATGAACAAAATAATAATTATTCATACTAAATGTTTCTTTTAGTGTGCCATCGTAAATATTAACATCTATAGCCAAAGAAATCAGGTATTCATAATATCACTGAGTAAATTAGTACAAGAAGACAAAAATTATCTCAGAAATTATATAAATGTAATTTCTATCGATGACTATTATGCCTTTTGATATGACCATTATTTCGTAAATGACTTTTCAGTATAAATCTTTTGGTTGGAATATATATAATTTATACGCGAAAAAAGAACGATTTTGTCTGAAATATGTGTCAACATTTAGATAAATACAGATCTGAAAATAATTTTATTGGACCATCAAAATAATTAGAGCAAGAATCTGAAGTATATTAAACAACATTACAAAAACTTTTGATATTCTAGAAACCATTTGATATTCTAGAAAGTTTGAGTATCCTACATAATTATTTTAATGGTCTAACAAAATCATTTTTAAATCTGTAAAATTAATAGCTAAATTTTTATATATTCTAGATACAGCAAAATCGTCCTTTTAATGTATGATTTTATCCTTTATAGTAATACTGGTCCTCATATGCGGGGCCACTTGAATCCCAGCTTTGGTATATTTGTGGGTGCATGTGTGGGTGAACTGGAAAAGCGTTATGAACGTGCAGGTGAACTGGTTGCGGTGATAGCCATGGTTGTGGTGATGGCCATGGTGCGTGCCAGCCTGAGTGAAGTTTCGCTAGAAAGGTGCTGAGTTTAAATAGTAGCAATATACCGCCTGAAAGTAGTGAAAAGCAGAATAAGACTTCCGTTTACTAATTGGAAAAAAAATCATGTAAAATTTAATTCACATTATCAAGTTTTACTGATACATAAATAAACCAAACTAGTCGAGAAATAAATATAAATATTGTAATAAAAAAAAGTCTACGATTGTCAACAAGTTACAATTGTTAACGAGATTTTATTATTCGCGATGATGGAAAATAAAGTCCAATGATTGATCGATATTAATGAGAAACATACTTAGACGAGAACTTTTTTAAATAAAATAAATAAATAATTTAATAAATAAGAAATGCTGGATAAATAAAAAAATCTCTTATGTAAATCTAACATTGATTTGAATACTGAATTCATATGCAGTAAATAGGTTAGCAATATTATCTAATCATGTATGCAGGTTACGCTATCCACAAGGTAGTCATAAAACCGTTATACATTCGTGCGGGTGACACTTTTCGTAATGTATACGGAAAAAAATGGTGCTTACCTATAAGAAGTCCTTTCGCTGAGATTGCTGCTATTACCATCAACATTGTCATCATCACTCCCATTTTGTACATCATCGGCATCAGCATGAACTGAAATCTTTTGTTTCCCCCAAAAGTGCGGGACTCAAGATCTGCATAACAATTTTAATGTAATTTTAAAATTGTTATAAGTAGACATATCCATACTTTTTATGGACAAATATTATTTTGAATCATTATATAATCTTATATATGTATATATATATAATTTTAATATATAATCTCTATTGAGACTATTATAAATGGATATATCCATAACTTTTGTAGATACATATTATTTTAAATAATTATATTAGGTGTTGGAATTAATTCGTAGCGTTCCAAAAAAATAGTATTTATAAATCACATTTCTAATCACAAATCTTGATTCTGTAACCGCAAAATACTTTTTTAACTTACTTACGTTTTTTTTTTATTAATAAACATGAAAATATGTCTTACCTTGAACTGGTTTGCTTTCAAATATGTTAACTAGGATACTTCGAAGACCATCGGTGTCAGAATTCAAAAGCGCTACAGCATCCGAGATCATTTCTAATTTCGTTGTATTGTACCGTGCAATTTTGTTGCTGTCTTTTGAAAATTTGATGTTCGTGGCACTTGTTGCAAACATATTTTTTGTAAATGCAGTTGCCAATAGCACGTACGCCATGATCTGGCCAATCGCCTTCATTCTCAGACCGGTTTACCACCACCCGGACTCATCGACACTGACGATCTTTTTTCTTTTGACTGACCTTTTTCCCTCTGTCTTCTCCTAAACCTTCTGAGTCGGACTACACAAAATACGTGTTATTCGGACTCGCACGAGCAACCGTATGATTCCCTCCAACTAACCGAGCGGTTCGAACTCGAAAGAGAATTGCGCTCGCTGCGCGTCGACTTTCTGCGCACCTCTTTTAAATTCCTCTTAGGTACCGATTTTACAAACACCTCAGAGAATCCACAGAATAACGATCCACATTCTAATATTGGAAAGTTTTTTCTTTAACATTCCGTATTTCTTTTAATAAAATTACACGACGATAAAAGACGATAAAAGATTATCCCTAACTAATAATTGCTCGAGAATATTTTGCAACAATTAATGACTTACATAAAATTTCTTTTTAATATAAGATTTATTAAATCTCATTTTTTTTGTAGCAGACTCTTCATTTAAGTAAGGCTACATTTTGATAATGGAAACTTTTAGAATTAATACATACGTATCATCGTCTTTCACTTTTTATCATGTAATATCACTGTCATGGTCATCGTGCAACGACCGTTCACGCATAGCCATCACCTTGAAAAGGAGTGGCTGAACTAAGAGTAGTTGGAACGCATTGCTTCATAATTTTCCAATGAAATTCTTCTCAACACATACACTCGAGCACACACTTATAATTTCCATTCAAGAAACGTTTTACTGTTTAAAATCCACTTGCCAATAATATGCAGATAAATTTTTTAAGACTAGTTTTCATGTACTGCTTATTCTCCTAGATACCGTCGTGTCAATCTGCTAAACGCATAACATCCGTAAACACTTATGCGTGCAACGTTACTGCAAACAGCCGTGCTTAACGAAGCACTGTGCTTCCTGACTAAGTTAACATAACTGCTGACTGACCTCATAACGAGACATTACAAGGAATAAGTATTGTGCGTCATAAAATTCATTAACCGTCTGGCTTTAGTAAGTAGCTCAAAGAAAAGTCATGGTCGATGATCGATGTGGTTTACCTCGATACGCTTGTTACAAAGCCGACAAAGATTATAATATTGCTTTATCTAGCTAGTTATATTAATTTTTAAATAAGATAAACCCGTTAAATAAATAAAGCATAAAAAAATGTTTAAAATTATTATAAAGAAATTGTAGTGCACTTTTTAACAATTCTCTATCTATGACAGCTTTATCTACAGTTAGTTAAGTTAATTCAGCATAAGTTTTTAATAAGGTAAATATATAAAATATATGCTCAAAATTATTATTAAAAAATTACAATGCAATTTTTTCTATGTCTCTTTCTTGCAACGTAAGAAAGATGTATTAATATTTCAGGAATTGAAGACAAGCGTTAAGACAATAAAAATGTCCGACGACAAAATTGTTAAAAAGAATAGCATTACATGAAACGATAAAGTAATAAATTGCATTAAACGTTGTGGACGCACCGTAAGCTAGGCAGACAGTAAGAAAGGCAATACAGGTTTATTGCATCGTCTTTGCTCAGTGAATCCAGTACGGAAGGAGCGAAGAGAGGGAAGAAGTAGGGAGCATCGTGCCGACCATCTTGGAAAATAAAATTCGCTGTAAAAATGCATTACTCTCCTCTCCCCACCTTAGAATGCCCCTTCTTCCTAACCATTCCTACGAGTCTCGATTCCTTCAAGGACTAAAAATTCAACCCTTTACACTGGCGCGAGCAGAGAGCGCGAAAGCAAGACTGTATTAAATACAAACGTTAAACCTGATCTGTATCGCATTTAGATTTACGGATTACTATTCCTTTGCTTCTTCCAATTTTCATTTAAAGACTACGTTTGCTGCATCGATGCTTCATTTTTGCATTTTAATTAGTCATGAGTTTTTATCTTTTCAAGAAACATCTATGATCTTTTTTTATCTTCAGTAATTGAAATATATTTGATATTATATATATATATATATATATACACATATACATATTTATAAGCAGACGTTTCTTTTCCTAAATGATTATAAGCTATATCAATAAAAATTTATTATTATCAATAATTATTTTCTTTTAATGGTAAACAATTAAGTGGTTATAATGCATTACATAAATCTTTAAAAGAAAATAAGATTAAGATATTTATAGGAAATGTAAAAAAAATTGTAATTTATGCTTTTATTTTAGATTCTATTTCTCAGTATGCCTGATGGCGTGTATACAAGTCAATCTTCACGCTGCAAAAATGTATATGCCGTGCACTTAACTATGTTTATGGCTTTCTCGTTCTCTTCTCCGAGTACATCGCCGATTCCTTACGCTAAGCGTGTTTGTAAACCATAATTGTCAAACGATTTGAGGTAAATAAACTTCCTCAGTTTCGCGACAAGTAATTCATAATCATCGTAAACGTTCAAACGGTACGACTAATTTGTAGCATTAATTACGTTAAGGAAATTACACGTTGAGATAAATCGAGCAATCGATGCACCTGATGCCATTGCCATTTCCGCGCAGGAAACGCAACCGGTCAGCCACGGCGAACTCGTTGGCGGCGGAGCTTGTTACCTCGCAACCCCGAAGTAGAAGCGTAGAGGGGCATCGCAAAAATGGAAATGCCAAGCTGTTATTCATCTACAGGTTCGTTTCTTCGTCCGTGAACTGGCTACAGTCGGCGTGCTTTAGACGATGGTATGTGTATCACCATGCGTGAGGCATGGCTGACCATAGACCGGCTCAGAAGTGGCCGAGACATTCGCCTCTCGACCGCGACCATGAGAGCACTCAACTCTCGACGCCCACGGTCAACCGCGAGCATCTATCGGCTCGTGCCTCGCTCGACTCTTTGTTTCTTCTTTCTGCTTTGCGTCCTTCATCACACACGAGCGCGAAGTGTGCCTCACGATGACGGCAGCGTCATTGCGGATCAAGTGAATGATAAGATTTCAAAACCGGTAGAGGTGAGTGATCCTGACGACGTAAACAAAGAAGATGCGGATCAAGCACGAAAAAGCTTGGCGATAGCAAATCATGATGAAGATGAAGATGTTAGTGAAGGAAGAAATAATTCAAAAGAAGAGATACTCGTCGAGGATCCTGAAAAAATTCAAGCCGAAGTTGCCAGTGATGAAGGTAGCGTGGCGAAGAAGAGAAGACGAAACGACGTGAGTCTTTCCGGTAAACCCGTGTCGCAGAATGGCGAGACTGTTGCACAGAATGTCGAGGAAAAGAACGAAGGTGTTCGAAGATTTGACGCTCAGGTCGAGTCTGATGATACTGAGACGATATTGGATCAACGGAATGTATCGGACAATACAGAAAACAGTCAGGATTCACAAGAAGATACTATTGAAATTAACGTCGAGGAATTACACGCGGATGTAAGAAACATAGATGTGAATGCCGATGAAGATAGGGCGGAGCCGGAAGAAGAGAAGAACGTAGACACTTCTTCTAATCTTGGAGAGAATCTAGAAGATATTAAATTGAAATGCGCGGATAAAATAGATTTAAACAAAGAAGAAACGGGGCAGATCGAAAATTTAGCGGAACATAATTTGGATGAGGCACAAATAGAGAATACCGAGAAAGTGAACGAAGACGTACGCAATGAGCTTCGTAGCTTGCAGCTTCCTCAAACGGAAGAAACCGAAAGTAATCAAGAGGAACATGTCGTGGAAGAAACTGAAAGTAATCAAGAGAAACGTGTGATCGACGAGGCTTCGAGCAATGAAGAAATCGGTGACGAAGATTTGGATCTGAACAGAGAAAATAGAGCCAGTGTTCCAGGTAAGTCCAAGTACAAGAGTTCGACTGTTTATTTGAATGCTGAAGAAGGTAATTTGCCTGGTCGCGAGCAAGAATCGATTGTAGACGGTCAAATAAAAAAATTAATATCTATACGAAATGATGCACTTGAATCCGTCGGTAACGATGCGAAAGAGTCGGAAAAATTTGATGAAGAGAGTCTTCTTTCAGAGAAATTTGCGGCTGAAAAAGACGAAGAGATTCGCAATCAACGTAACAGCGACGCGGAAGTGACATCGACTCGAAGTGAGAATCTTGATCAATCATCTTCAACAACGGAAGCCGATTTAAACCGTTTTCAAAAATGGAAGAATCAAGCTGCGTTTCTTCAGGAACAAATCAAGAACAGAACATTTTTGCAGTATTTAAGAGAACAGGCAATTGAGGTGCTCCCCGATATTCCAAAATTCACGGAAAATCAGTTATTGGATACTTTGAAGGATATTGCGATAACGCGGGAGTCACTTACGAACGAAACGTTCTTGGCTAGCTTAAACACGACTGAATTGACTAAAAATCAATTGGAAATAATAAAGTGTGCCGAGCAATTAGTACAGACAAAACAGCGCCAGTCGTTCGTGGAAAATATAGGAGAATGCATTCGCGGTCTCAGTGTCTTTAATTGCATACGCATCTTCGTCTGGCCCGTCGTGCTCGACAATCTCCCGGAATCAGTTAAGCAGCCTCTGAATAATCTACCAATCGAGGTAAACTTAATGGATTTATTTCAGGGTAACAGAGCCAAATCTGCGAGATCAGAGAATAGCCTTCATCATCCGTGGTTGCTAACGCCTGAGTTCGTTGTTTTCAACATTCTGAAGGGTGCTTTGGAATCGAAAGTCACCTACGAGTTGGTGCCGACTTTCATCGATCCGACGAACGAAACCCTGAGGGCACTGCTTACTATCGGTCAACTCCAAATTTTGCAGATGGCTGAGAAACTTTTACCCGGTGAGAGGCGTCGCGAATATGCCGACAGGATGTTCTCATGCGTACGTAGATTCGAGTACTTCAGCTGCGTTAAGTACTTTGCTTGGCCGATGGTGAAACAACATTATCCGACGCTGCCGGCTTTTCCGGATTATCAGAATTGGTATCCATCGATACCGTTGTATCCGCAGTACCCTATCGTTCCCTTTCCCAGTTTTGTGGGGACTCCTGGCGAGCTTCCGGAAGTCATTGAAGCTGACGCCACGAGAATGCGGAAGCCCAAGCCGGAAGCGGTGATCGTGAACATCCTTCAGAATACCTTGAAGGAGCACGCGAAGGTTCCTCCTCCTTCTATCGCTCATACTACAGATTCTTACATTGCTGTACTTCCTCCGGAGCAATTACTGTCGATCCACATGGCTGAACAGCTACTTCCTATCGCGTATCGTCCAGAATTTGTTCAGAAGACTGTTAAGTGCATTCAGGAATTTAATTATGTAACCTGTTTTAAATATTCCACCTGGCCGACGGTCAAACAGTTTATTCCCAATCTACCGGATATTTCCGAGTGGCTACCGGACTGGCAATTGCCCGATTTCTTCGGTTTCTTGCCAAATTTTCAGTTTCCTGATTTTTCATCAATTTTAGGAGGAAGCCAATCACCGACTTTACCGATTCCACCGACTTTACCAAACCCACCGACTACGACGACACCGCTAGTCACTGAAAATCCATCGGAATCCGCTGGGGCAGAAAAATTATCCAGTCGGATTCCATTATTATCACGCCAAAACGAAATTTCTTCCAAAGCATCCAGCGAATTAGAAAACAAGGTTACGGAGATTTTAACAAAGGTACGTAATTCCCTGAGAGCGACATCGAAAAATTCGCATTTAATCGTCAACGAAAATGTGATTGTTCTGACAACAATTACTGAGAAACAACTTAATATACTACAATTAGCGGAGAGCATGGTACCACCTCCGGCTCGAGCACCTCTTGTAGTTCAAGTTATGTCTTGCCTCCAGGCGAACAATGACTTTCTCAATTGCACCAGATACGTTATTTGGCCCACGGTTGCTCTTTACGTTCCTAATTTCCCTGAATTTCCTGATTTTTCATCTGCTCAACAACCATCGAAACAAGAAGACCAAATACCATTGAAAGACAAGAACGTTTCAGCTATCAAGGATCAGCA